GAAATGCCTCCTCCTCCTTCTACAAAGTTACTATGTACAGTCTGATCACTGGGGGAGGGGAGACTGAGGAAATGCCTCCTCCTTCTACAAAGTTACAATGTACAGTCTGATCACTGGGGGAGGGGGGACTGAGGAAACGCCTCCTCCTCCTACAAAGTTACAATGTACAGTCTGATCACTGGGGGATGGGAGACTGAGGAAACGCCTCTACAAAGCCTACAAAGTGTGAGGAAGGAGCCTGGCACAGAATTTCCCTGAAGATGTAAGCCGGCGGGGCGGTAATACAGCAGAACCTGGTGCTGAGGAAGACGTGAGCGCGGCGGCCATTATAGAGGAACGCTCTTTGTTCTCTGCGGTAGGAGAAAAGATTTACAACAAACTCCATAAAAGATGCGCCTTCCGGCTCCTCTGTTTACTTAACTCTCCAGACTCCTATAAACCTGCAAAATATATCGCCGTCCTGGAATTCCCCATCATAGAACAATGGAGGGTCCGGGGTCACTGCCACCACCCCGCCGCCGACACCCCGCCGCCCCCGCCGACACCCGAACGCCGACACCCCACCGCCGACACCCCCGCCGCCGACACCCGAACGCCGACACCCCACCGCCGACACCCCACCGCCGACACCCCGCCGCCGACACCCCGAACCCCGCCCGACACCCCGCCGCCGACACCCCGCCGCCGACACCCCACCCCGCCGCCGACACCCCGCCGCTGACGCAACACAAAGCTGAAAAGTCCGTAAACTTTAATGACAACGCAGTCGGCGTAAAAAAAAACAAATTAACCATTTCCCTCCCGGAGATATCCGGACATCCCTCCTGCAGGGAAAAAGCAACATTTATTATTTTTTACTAAAAAATTACTTAGAACCCCCAAACATTATATATATATTTATTTATTATTTATTTCAGGTACTTATATAGCGCCGTCAATTTACTCCGCGCTTTACATATATATTGTACATTCACATCAGTCCCCGCCCCCGAGGAGTGTACAATCTAAGGTCCCTGACTTACATTCATACATACACATACTAGGGCCAACTTAGACAGGAGCCAATTCACCTACCAGCATGTCTTTGGAGTGTGGGAGGAAACCGGAGTACCCGGAGGAAACCCACGCAGGCACAGGAGAACATGCAAACTCCAGGCAGGTGGTACTGTGGTTGAGATTCAAACCAATGACCCGAGTACTGCCAGGAGGAAGTGCTAACCATTTAGCCATTGTGCTGCCATATATATATATATTGTTTTTTTGGCACTGATAGGCATCACTGATAGGCGGCAATGGTGGGCTCTGATAGGCATCAATGATAGGCACCGATGGTGGGCACTGATAGGTATCACTGATAGGCGGCACTGATGGGCTCTGATAGGTATCACTGATAGGCATCACTGATAGGCGGCAATGGTGGGCTCTGATAGGCACCGATGGTGGGCTCTGATAGGTATCACTGATAGGCGGCAATGGTGGGCTCTGATAGGCACCGATGGTGGGCACTGATAGGTATCAATGATAGGCACCGATGGTGGGCTCTGATAGGTATCACTGATAGGCGGCACTGATGGGCTCTGATAGGTATCACTGATAGGCAGCACTGATAGGCGGCAATGGTGGGCTCTGATAGGTATCACTGATAGGCACACTGATAGGCAGCACTGATGGGCTCTGATAGGTATCACTGATAGGTATCACTGATAGGCACCGATGATGGGCACCAATAGGCAGCACTGATGGGCTCTGATAAGGATCACTGATAGGTGGAAATGATGGGCACTGATAGGTATCACTGATAGGCACCGATGATGGGCACCAATAGGCAGCACTGATGGGCTCTGATAGGTATCACTGATAGGCAGCACTAATAGGCAGCATTGATGGACACTGAGAGGCATCACTGATGAGCACTGATGGGGCTGCATTGATTATCAGTGTAGATGTCCCCTCTGAGGATTGCCACTTATCGGCTCTCCTCTCCTCACACTCTGTCAGCATTTCCTGTTTACATGTGATCAGCTGTGATTGGACACAGCTGATCACATGGTAAAGAGCCTATGTCATGGGCTCTTAAACGGCGATCACTGGTCCCCCATGTCCCAGGGACAGAGGCCACCACCGATCGTCATGCTGTGTGTCCCCGCGGGGCACGCATGCGCGGCTAGAGTTGGAGGACGTCATATAATGTCCTCCCAAAACAGCAGAGCCCCCACCTGTCCGTCTGTCTTTTCCCAACATGGCGGGCGGGAGGTGGTTAAGGGTATAAAGGTTCAAACTGAAGTGAGCAGAAGCTCCATCTAGTGGCCATAAAGTGGTATTTTCCTGATTCACTGTATGAGTGAATAACATTTGACCTTGAGAGCGAATAGCCTGGAACATTCGATGTTGTCCCCGCGCAGCGCCACGAGATACATAGCTCCGTACGGTTTACACAAATACAACCCTGAGTGCTCTGCAGTGCAATCGGCATTATTGCTGGCAGCCAGGAGAAGACACGCTGCTGTTTCTGAGGATGATTTACACCAATCTGCTGCGTCTTTAAAATAAAATAAGCACTTACTGTTCGACTCGCGGGGAGAGGTAAAGTTTGGGGAACACCTGGGTGGCTTCTGCGTCTTCAAAACTAACAGAGAGGAGAGCGACGTCTTCCCCCGGGTCCTCGTTGGCATCCTAGAGAGAGGAAGGGTCAGTCATTATCTGATTTATCATACAAACTGGAACATTCAGCTCCCCGCCCCCACTCTGTGAGAAATCAGGAAGTGCAGATAAACAGGTACAACTTATGTAGGAGGATTTGTGTCATCTCTGCGTATCCCGAGGCCAGTCACTTCTCTGGGGATATGGAGGGTTTACTCCACTTTGAGGTGCAATGGGCCGGGGACAGGGATGATTACATGTCACGGTGCGAAGTGGCGGCCTGCGCAGAGCTGACCCCACATGTAGCGATCGATGGACGGAACGCCCGACAAACACGACAAATTCGAGTAAATGGGGAAGTGCAGCGGACGCACGCAATGCATGTGCTGCCAAAAATGGGGTTGAGACAGGCGGCGAGGAGGCGTGGCATTGCTTCCTCACCGCCTATCAGAAGCTTCTGCTGCGCCATCTGAATGCGGATCGGACTTCAGAGGACTTCAGAGGTGAGGGGGACTTAGCCGCATGTCTGTCATTGGGGGGGATTTACTAAAGGCAAATAGACTTTGTAAGTGCAGCTGCTCCGGAGCTTAACCACTTCCATACCGGGCGCCCCCCCCCCTCCTGCCCAGGCCAATTATCAGCTTTCAGCACTGACGCACTTTAAATGACAATTGCGCGGTCATGCGACGCTGTACCCATATGACATTTAAAAAAAAAACAACACACAAACAGAGCTTTCTTTTGGTGGTATTTAATCACCACTGGGGGGGGGGGGCTGTAAAAAAAAAGTTTGTGTTATAAAACAGGAATAAAGTAATTTTTCTTCTCTGATGTCTGCTGATGAGGCTGCACTGATGGGCACTGATGAGGCTGCACTGATGGGCACTGGTGAGGCTGCATTGATGGGCACTGGTGAGGCTGCATTGATGGGCACTGGTGAGGCTGCACTGATGGGCACTGGTGAGGCTGCACTGATGGGCACTGGTGAGGCTGCACTGATGGACACTGGTGAGGCTGCACTGATGGGCACTGGTGAGGCTGCATTGATGGGCACTGGTGAGGCTGCATTGATGGGCACTGGTGAGGCTGCATTGATGGGCACTGGTGAGGCTGCACTGATGGGCACTGGTGAGGCTGCACTGATGGACACTGGTGAGGCTGCACTGATGGGCACTGGTGAGGCTGCATTGATGGGTACTGGTGAGGCTGCACTGATGGACACTGGTGAGGCTGCATTGATGGGCACTGGTGAGGCTGCACTGATGGGCACTGGTGAGGCTGCACTGATGGGCACTGGTGAGGCTGCACTGATGGAGACTGGTGAGGCTGCACTGATGGGCACTGGTGAGGCTGCACTGATGGACACTGGTGAGGCTGCACTGATGGGCACTGGTGAGGCTGCATTGATGGGTACTGGTGAGGTTGCACTGATGGACACTGGTGAGGCTGCATTGATGGGCACTGGTGAGGCTGCACTGATGGACACTGGTGAGGCTGCATTGATGGGCACTGGTGAGGCTGCACTGATGGGCACTGGTGAGGCTGCACTGATGGGCACTGGTGAGGCTGCACTGATGGGCACTGGTGAGGCTGCACTGATGGACACTGGTGAGGCTGCACTGATGGGCACTGGTGAGGCTGCATTGATGGGTACTGGTGAGGTTGCACTGATGGACACTGGTGAGGCTGCACTGATGGACACTGGTGAGGCTGCACTGATGGGCACTGGTGAGGCTGCATTGATGGGCACTGGTGAGGCTGCACTGATGGGCACTGTTGAGGCCCCACTGAGGGTAACTGATGAGGTAGCACTGATGGGCACTGGTGAGGGAGAACTGTTGAGGGAATGCTGATATCTGTCATCTCTGTTTACATGTGAGCAGCTGTGACTAGACACAGCTGATCACATGGTAAAGGGCCACTGTGATTGGCCCTTTACCCCGATCTGTGATCAGCTGTGTCCAAGGGACACAGAGGTCACAGAGCATGCCTGATGTGTGCACAGGGGGCCGGGTTCTGGGAGGACATCCACAGACACACTCCCAGAACTAGACAACCGAGCTGTGGCCATCTTTTGGGTATAGTGCAATAGGCAAGCGGTTATTAAATGAAGGAAGACTCTGTTGACTTCCATCATCCAATCATGTGCAAGCAAAAATTTGTTTTTTTTTTTTTCCTTACATGTGATTGGCTATTATTTTCAAGGTGAGGCTTCCCCTCATTTACTAAGCTCTGGAGCAACAGCACTTGCAGAGCGCACAGTCTGTTGGCCTTTAGTAAATCCCCCCCCTTAGTATCTGTGTGGCCTGTGCAGCACAATGTGGAAACATACACTATATTTCCAAAAGTATTGGCCCCGCCCTCCCAATCATGTGATTCAGGTGTTCCAATCCCCTCCCAATCATGTGATTCAGGTGTTCCTATCCCCTCCACATCATGTGATTCAGGTGTTCCTATCCCCTCCACATCATGTGATTCAGGTGTTCCAATCCCCTCCCAATCATGTGATTCAGGTGTTCCAATCCCCTCCATATCATGTGACTCAGGTGTTCCAATCCCCTCCATATCATGTGACTCAGGTGTTCCAATCCCCTCCATATCATGTGATTCAGGTGTTCCAATCCCCTCCCAATCACGTGATTCAGGTGTTCCAATCCCCTCCATATCATGTGATTCAGGTGTTCCAATCCCCTCCATATCATGTGATTCAGGTGTTCCAATTCCCTCCATATCATGTGATTCAGGTGTTCCAATCCCCTCCCAATCATGTGATTCAGGTGTTCCAATCCCCTCCATATCATGTGACTCAGGTGTTCCAATCCCCTCCATATCATGTGATTCAGGTGTTCCAATCCCCTCCCAATCACGTGATTCAGGTGTTCCAATCCCTTCCCAATCATGTGATTCAGGTGTTCCAATCCCCTCCATAGCATGTGATTCAGGTGTTCCAATCCCCTCCATATCATGTGATTCAGGTGCTCCAATCCCCTCCATGGACACAGGTGTATACAATCAAGCCCCTAGACATGCAGACGGCTTCTACAAACATTGGTGAAAGAATGGGTCGCTCTCAGGAGCTCAGTGACTCCAAGCGTGGTCCCGTGATAGGTGGCCACCTGGGCAATAAGTCCATCCGTGACATTTCCTGGCTACTAAATATTCCACGCTCAACTGTTAGTGGGATTATAACAAAGTGGAAGCAACTGGGAACAACAGCCACTCAGCCACCAAGTGGTAGGCCACGTCACATGACAGGGCGGGGTCAGCGCATGCTGAAGCGCACAGTGCGCAGAAGTCACCAACTGTCTGCAGAGTCAATAGCTAAAGACCTCCAAACTTGGTGTGGCCTTCAGATGAGCCCAACAACAGTGCGTAGAGAGCTTCATGGAATGGGTTTCCATGGCCGACTATGGTGTGGGGTTGTCTTTCAGGGGGTGCGCTTGGCCCCCTAGTTCCAGAGAAGGGAACTCTTCAGGTGACATTTTGGACAATTTCATGCTCCCAACTTTGTGAGAGGAGTTTGGGGATGGCCCCTTCCTGTTCCAACATGAGTGCACAAAGCAAGGTCCATAAAGACATGGAGGAGCCAGTTTGGGGTGGAGGAACTTGACTGTCCTGCACAGAGTCCTGACCTCAACCCCATAGAACACCTTTGGGATGAATTAGAGCGGAGACTGCGAGCCAGGCCTCCTCCCCCGACATCAGTGCCTGACCTGACAAATGTGTGCTTCTGGAAGAATGGTCCAACCTTCCCATAGACACCCTCCTAAACCTTGTGGACGGCCTTCCCAGAAGAGTTGAAGCTGTTATAGCTGCAAAGGGCGGGGCCAACTCAATATTGAACCCTACGGACTGAGACTGGGGGGCCATTAAAGGTCATGTGTGTGGAAAGGGCGAGGCCAACTCAATATTGAACCCTACAGACTGAGATTGGGGGGCCATTAAAGGTCATGTGTGTGGAGAGGGTGGGGCCAATTCAATATTGAACCCTACGGACTAAGACTGGGGGGCCATTAAAGGTCATGTGCGTGGAAAGGGCGGGGCCAACTCAATATTGAACCCTACGGACTAAGACTGGGAGGCCATTAAAGGTCATGTGCGTGGAAAGGGCGGGGCCAACTCAATATTGAACCCTACGGACTAAGACTGGGGGGCCATTAAAGGTCATGTGCGTGGAAAGGGCGGGGCCAACTCAATATTGAACCCTACGGACTAAGACTGGGGGACCATTAAAGGTCATGTGTGTGGAAAGGGCGGGGCCAATTCAATATTGAACCCTACGGACTAAGACTGGGAGGCCATTAAAGGTCATGTGCGTGGAAAGGGCGGGGCCAACTCAATATTGAACCCTACAGACTAAGACTGGGAGGCCATTAAAGGTCATGTGCGTGGAAAGGCCGGCAGCCCAATACTTTTGGCAATTCAGTGTATCTATGATCCCTGTGGAAGAAGATTGTTGTTATGCAGCAAATCAGAAACCAATACAATGATGGTGGACCTGTTGGGCAACGTGCCATTCCTCAGCCAGGAGTGCCGGTGGTGCTGATCTGAGGATCTGGTTAGTGAGTGGCTATGAAATGTATCGGATTCTCCCCATAGGTCAGGAATGTCCTGTTGCTGTACATTCACCAAGTGAGGTCCATGCCGAGCATAGTCAGAGTTCAGATGGTCCTCGGAGAAGTTCGGCAACCTCCATTGTGGGTTTCAGGAGTTTTGCAGCCATTCTGGAAATGTTTAATCATGTCCCTGGACAGTATTTATGCCTTTAAAGTGCACTTTATAAAGAGTTTTGAACAGATAAAAGACTTTTTTTTTTTACTTTTTTCTCACCTCCGGAACTAATTAATTGGTTTTCAGTGCATTCCTATGGGAAACCGCGTTTCGGTTTTCGAATTTTTCGCAATACGGAACGTCCCGCAGAACACATTAAGTTCGTAAACCGAGGTGCGCCTGTATTGTTATACTAATAATATATCAATGAGGACAATAAATCCTTTCGCTACTTTTTCTTCCTCTTTCTTTGGATAATGATGTCAAACAAAAGCCAATCAGTCGTTAGCAGAGGTTGCTGATCGCCGGGTTGTGGATTATTATCTATGAAACATTTCCCGATTGCCGAGGAGGACAATCCCAATCCTTTCCTCCAACAAAGACTTCATTCATGGCGAGCCAAGGACAAGGCCGGCCTCGGGGATCCCCAGGATAAGCTGCAGAGTTCACCAGATAAGTAACAGATAAAAACGCCATAAAATACACCAAACGGTGCGTTCCGGGTACGTCCCGGCAAAGAGAAACCATAATGGGGGTTTGTTGCTTTAACCACTTCCTGTCTGGCCGTAGTATATAAACGGCCGGATGGTGGCACTGCAGGGGCGGGTGGGTGTTTATAAATGGCCTCCCCGCCCCCTCCTTGTGCGTGCTCCCTGGGAGCACAGCACCGCGATCCGGTGCCCGCTGTGTCCTCCAGACACATCGTCATACAGGACCTCTGTGTGAGGTCCCGATCATGTGTTCACTGATTGGCCAATCAGTGATCACATGCAGAGTAGTAAGCAATGATGTCACTTCTGACATCATTGCTTACTACGTGTGAAATCTGTGAATGATCACAGAGATCACATGGTACAGAACTATTCCCAACAGCCTTGTACCATGTGACAAGCTGTGACCAATCACAGCTCACACAGTATTTCTCAATGGCTGCAGGAATGCAGCCAGAGAGAAGGAGAAATGATTCCTCTTACAGCCTTTATGGGTGTAAAAGCAATCAGTGTAAAAAAAAAAAAAATCTTCATCACCCCCCATAAGTAGTACAGTGTCACCATGGTGACAGTGTACTGCTAGGGTGACAGTATGTAAAAAATAAATAAATATAAAAAAAATTAAATGTAAAAAAAAATGTTTAAAAATTATAATTTTTGGTTACAAACTAATTTGGGTTATTATTTTTTTTTCACTAAAAAGATAAAGGAATACATTTTGGCCGAGATTTATGATGAAATATTATTTATTTGCAAAATTTTATAAGAAAACACTTTTTTTTTTCAAAATTTTTGGATTTTTTCATTTACATAGCAAAAAAAATAAAAATCCCAGCGGTGAATAAATACCACCAAAATAAAGTTGTCTCAAACAAATGCTAAAAAATTCATATGTGTACAGTGTTGCAGGACCGCACCATAGTGAGGGCCAAAGGGAGGGTCATACTGAGGACGATAGTGAGGACCATAGTGAGGGTCATACTGAGGACCATAGTGAGGGCCATGCTGAGGACCATAGTGAGGATCATACTGAGGACCATAGTGAGGGCCATACTGAGGACCATAGTGAGGGCCATACTGAGGACCATAGTGAGGATCATAGTGAGGGCCAAAGTGAGGGTCATACTGAGGACCATAGTGAGGATCATAGGGAAGGCCAAAGTGAGGGCCATACTGAGGACCATAGTGAGGGCCATACTGAGGACCATAGTGAGGGCCATACTGAGGACCATAGTGAGGATCATAGTGAGAGGGCCATAGTGAGGATCATAGTGAGAGGGCCATAGTGAGGATCATAGTGAGAGGGCCATAGTGAGGATCATAGTGAGGGCTATAGTGAGGATCATAGTGAGAGGATCATAGTGAGGGCCATAGTGAGGGCCATAGTGAGGGCCATACTGAGGGCTATAGTGAGGGTCATACTGAGGACCATAGTGAGGGCCCTAGTGAGGGCCCTAGTGAGGACCATAGTGAGGGCCATACTGAGGACCATACTGAAGACCATACTGAAGACCATAGTGAGGGCCATAGTGAGGGCCATAGTGAGGACCATACTGAAGATCATAGTGAAGGCCATAGTGAGGGCCATATTGAGGGCCCTAGTGAGGACCATAGTGAGGGCCATATTGAGGGCCCTAGTGAGGACCATAGTGAGGGCCATATTGAGGGCCCTAGTGAGGACCATAGTGAGGACCATACTGAGGTTCAACAAGGTGTGAAGATGAGGAAATATTGGAAGGCAAGATAACAAAACAAAGTCATTCTTCTAAGTCTCTCTGGTCTGTGTTCTGTATGTGTGTGTGTGTGGGGGGGGGGGGGGGGCGTCCCACAAGGTACCTGTCCTGAGCCTGACCCTGGATCAGAGGGTAATGTGTTCTGCAGACAACAATGTATTATAATAGGGAGGAGGGGGTGGGGGGATCACATGAACCGATCCCTCCTACCGTAAGCCGGCCACAGTTACTGGAAGCCGGGATTAATGGCCGCGGGCGTCTGCTGACCGCCACTCCAAACAACACATCTGCTCCCCGCCACTCACAATGGCTGGAATCCATTTCCTCGGATAACTGGAGTGTGACCAGCACAGAGATTAGGATCGCTGTTCCCGTGCAGAGCCCCGTATTGCTGTGCTGAGCGCCAACCACCGGTCACATGACTGCGCCGGGAGCTGGGGGCCTAATCTGATATGACTGCTGCTAGAGACGGATCAAAACCACATGCGGCTGCTGCTCCCTGCAATCCTATTATATCTGCAGCCAAAGGGAAAGCAGATTGTTTTTATGGTGCGTACGCATTTCATTACCAATGGAACTTCAGCTGAAAGCAATTTCTTCATTTAAAGGGACCCTGTGCCCCACCATCATTCACCTCTGCATCTACAGGCACTGTGGAGAAATTCATCTTCAAAGTTCATAGCTTGTCTTAAAGTGGAACTCTAGGCAAAACCATCTTAGATAGGGTAAGGGGGGGGTTATAACCCATCCAATTTTTATTCGCCACCTGTGTCCCGTTGGGGAGATTTCCCTTCACTTCCTGTCCCACAGCCAAAAAGGAAGTGAGAGGAAATCCCTGCAAAGTAAGGGAATCCAGGTCTCCAGAACTAGTGTCCCCATTGGAAGATTTCCTCTCTATTACTTTTCTGGGGACAACCCAAAATTTGGGATTTTCTTTACTTTCACTTTCAATGATAATGATAAAACAGGACAAATAGAGAGGGGGGGGGTGGATCTCCCTAACGGGGGCACAGAGAGCAATAAACACCTAACAGGGGGTCTCATCCCTCTCCACTCCATGCAAAACTACAAAAAAAAAAGTTTTGCCTTTAGGCTAGTCAGGGGTAGGCAACCTGAGAGCCGCAGGACTACAAGTGCCATCATGCCTCTGCAAGTCATAGCTGGAACTCAGTTTTGTAATCTTTGCAATGCCTCATGGGAAATGTAGTTCCACAACAGCTAGAGAGACGCAGATTGCCTACCCCTGGGCTAGGTTCACATCTGTGCCGGTGGTGACGCTGTGGATCCGCATGCAAATCCGCCCAGTCGCACCACCCGCACAGAGCAATGCAGACCCGCGTGAAAATCCACGCAGCCGCACCACCCACACAGAGCAATGCAGACCCGCGTGAAAATCCACGCAGCCGCACCACCCACACAGAGCAATGCAGACCCGCGTGAAAATCCACGCAGCCGCACCACCCACACAGAGCAATGCAGACCCGCGTGAAAATCCACGCAGCCGCACCACCCGTACAGAGCAATGCGGACCCGCATGAAAATCCGCACAGCCGCACCACCCGCACAGAGCAATGCGGACCCGCATGAAAATCCACGCAGCTGCACCACCCGCACAGAGCAATGCAGACCCGCATGAAAATCCGAGCAGCCGCACCACCCACACAGAGCAATGCAGACCCGCATGAAAATCCGCACAGCCGCACCACCCGCACAGAGCAATGCGGACCCGCATGAAAATCCGCGCAGCCGCACCACCCACACAGAGCAATGTGGACCCGCATGAAAATCCACGCAGCCGCACCACCCGCACAGAGCAATGCGGACCCGCATGAAAATCCACGCAGCCGCACCACCCGCACAGAGCAATGCGGACCCGCGTGAAAATCCACGCAGCTGCACCACCCGCACAGAGCAATGCGGACCCGCATGAAAGTCCGCACAGCCGCACCACCCGCACAGAGCAATGCAGACCCGCATGAAAATCCACGCAGCCGCACCACCCACACAGAGCAATGCGGACCCGCATGAAAATCCGTGCAGCCGCACCACCCGCACAGAGCAATGCAGACCCGCATGAAAATCCGCGCAGCCGCACCACCCTCACAGAGCAATGTGGACCCGCAGGTGGGTGATTATTTCTAATGGCACGCCGCCCGCACTGGAAATCTTCCCTGCGTGTCCCAGGACATGGGAGTCCATTGAAATGAACGGGCTCTGGTGTCCGCGCAAAACGTGTCCCACACGGCCGCAGAGATGTGAACTCAAAGTGAACCGCGCCCAGACCGTTCATTAAAGTATTTACATATTCTACACCAGGGGGGAGGCAACCTTAACCCCTCACCCTCCGGATGATCCCCCTCCCCCCTTTCCTGACTTGGCCAATTTTGGGATACGGCCCTGCGTTACTTTAACTGACAATTGCGCGGTCATGCAACGCCGCACCCAAATGAAATATACACCCTTTTTTCCTACAAATAGGGCTTTCTTTCGGTGGTATTTGATCGCTTCTGCATTTTTTATTTTTTGCACTACAAGCAAAAAAAGACCGACAATTTTGAGAAAAAAAAACAGTATTTTTGACGTTTTGCTATAAAACATGTCCAGTAAAAAAAAATCAAATTTCGTCATAAATTTAGGGAAAAATGTATTCTGCTCCGTGTCTTCACTGGCAATATAGATACTGAGATTTTTGTTTTATACTAGTAATGGCAACAATCAGCGACTTACAGCGGAACTGCGGCCATTCTGACACTAACTGACACCCCCAGTGACACCAGTACAGTGATCAGTGCTAATAAAAAGCCCCGACACTGTACTAACGGCACGGGGCAGGAAGGGGTTAACATCTGGGGCGATCAAAGGGTTAACTGTGTGCTTTACTATGTAATCATGCTGCTATGCAGAGCCATACAAAGCAGCATGTATGTGCTGACAGGGGAGAGATCTGTATTGTTTACAAACAGACCTCTCCTCCGTCAGTGTTCCTCGCCGATTGCCAGGTGCCGGCGGGGAATCTCCGGCCGAAATCCGGTGATCAATAGGTGTAGCTGCCAATGACGGCATGGGTAGGGCACGTGATACTTAGTAGCCAGGAAATGTCACGGATGGACTTATTGCCCAGGTGGCCACCTATCACGGGACCACGCTTGGAGTCACTGAGCTCCTGAGAGCGACCCATTCTTTCACCAATGTTTGTAGAAGCCGTCTGCATGCCTAGGGGCTTGATTGTATACACCTGTGTCCATGGAGGGGATTGGAGCACCTGAATCACATGATATGGAAGGGATTGGAACACCTGAATCACATGATATGGAGGGGATTGGAACACCGGAATCACATGATATGGAGGGGATTGGAACACCGGAATCACATGATATGGAGGGGATTGGAACACCTGAATCACATGATTGGGAGGGGATTGGAACACCTGAATCACATGATATGGAGGGGATTGGAACACCTGAATCACATGATATGGAGGGGATTGGAACACCTGAATCACATGATATGGAGGGGATTGGAACACCTGAATCACATGATTTGGAGGGGATTGGAACACCTGAATCACATGATTGGGAGGGGATTGGAACACCTGAATCACATGATTGGGAGGGGATTGGAACACCTGAATCACATGATATGGAGGGGATTGGAACACCTGAGTCACATGATTGGGAGGGCGGGGCCAATACTTTTGGCAACATAGTGTGTACGGCTTCAGGTGGAAGTGGTCATACCAGGATCATCGCTGCAGCTGTGATGGTGTAGGTGAGTAGTAACAGCTGGGAGAGTCCTAGCAACATCCTAGCAACAAGGCAGGACAGGATCTTGTAGTTTTGTCCATCTCTTGTAGTTTTTGAGTCAGGATTCAGGAGGTATGTAAATGGCGTACACCTATAGCAAGAGCACGGCACAGTGAACATGCTGGGGTTTGAGTTTTCACTCCTGTGATGGTGCGGGTGAGCAGTAACAGCTGGGAGAGTCCTAGAAACGTCCTAGCAACCAGGCAGGACAGGATGATTCCATCTCTTGTAGTTCTTGAGTCAGGCTTCAGGAAGTATGTAAATGGCCTACACCTATCACAAGGGCATTAATCGCCTTTAATCAGAGCTGTGCGTCCCTCACCTGCATAGGAAGTTTTTCGGTAAAGGGGAACCAACCCTTTAACCCCTTTTCCACCCACACGGCAATCCCTTCAAAAAGTTCTGAACGCCAAGGGGCAGGAAAGATTGGCTGATAACGTGACCGCTGTGATTGGCTGTCACAGTGGTCACATTATCAGGAGCAGGTCCTGCCAGCTGCCAATCATCAGCGGGGACCAAGAGCTCATTCTCTGTTCTGGGAGCGCGCTCTGAGCGCAGACGCATCGACCGCCCAGCGACGCCTATGTGCAGGGTGTGGCCATTAAAGCCTGCCTTGCTGCCTCTGCACATGCGTGTTAGAAGGTGGTAAAGGGGTTAAGCCTCTTCTCCGTTAACGTGAGGCGCGCTGATTTCAGCATCATCTCCAACCCGCCCGCAGCTCACTGGGAGTGTGAAGAGAGTGCGGCGAGCACAAAGCTGAAGTGTGGGGTGTGAATTGTCGTCCTCCAACACCCCCAACTGTGCAGCATCTTTGCAGCCAAACCCTCCGCGGGATTTATTTACTTATTACCGGCGTGACTCACTTCCCAGCATTCTGTGGTGGCCCTCGCTCTATTCTTGGATGCGGTCGCAGCTCGTTCGGGGTTACGTGAAGTTACACTACCTGCCGGGGCCCGCTGGGAACTCGTACCATCTCCGGGATTCAGCGGGATTGGCCGTGTATTGTCGCTTTCGTTACATTGTAACATTTAGCGGAACGTTCATGTATTTTGCAGCCGCGGGGGGGGGGGGGGGGGGGGGGGGGTGCCATTACTTCTAATGGCACGCCGCCCACACTGGGAAACGCAACCGTACTGGGAACCTCGGCTACGTTTCCCAAAGTAGTGCCGGGACTTCTTTCCCTGCGTGTCACGGGCAAATCAACGGGCTCTTGTGCCCGAGCAAAACGCGGCCCACAGGGCCACATAGGTGTGAACCGGGGGTTAGCCAGAAGTCAAATAAATCATCAATTATTACTGAGCGGGGAGAGGCCACACACTGAACATGCAGCTGGAAAAGAATATTCATCCATTATGCTTTGATTATTACTCCTTGGCGCCGACGGTCCTGCACGCTGAGAGGCCACATATTTGTGTACCCAATGTAAAGAAACATGTGCCGAGAGCGTACGCCCTGCGTGCTCCCGTCACGTTTACCAGCACGTCACGGAAAGGTCCCGATCGCTACCTGCAATCGAATCGGGAGCTTTCTGATCATGTGACCGCTGACAGCCAATCATGGAGTTCACATGACCCTAAACCCCGCCCCACCTCCCGACCCCTTAAAGGGCAAGGAGGCGCTGGTGCCAATGGGTTAACACACATTAAAGCGCTTACGCATCAGTACAGATTTTTTTATGTATTTTTGTTACTTTGGTGATACTTTTTTGAAGCTTGGCAAATGTCTTGTGTATTGATTTTCTATTAGTTTTAAAGGAACTCAGTAGTATATCCACTCAGCAGATCCCCAGCTCATTAGTACCCTCGCTCAGCAGATCCCCAGCTCATTAGTACCCTCGCTCAGCAGATCCCCATCTCATTAGTACCCTCGCTCAGCAGATCCCCAGCTCATTAGTACCCTCGCTCAGAAGATCCCCATCTCATTAGTACCCTCGCTCAGCAGATCCCCAGCTCATTAGTACCCTCGCTCAGAAGATCCCCATCTCATTAGTACCCTCGCTCAGCAGATCCCCAGCTCATTAGTACCCTCGCTCAGAAGATCCCCATCTCATTAGTACCCTCGCTCGGCAGATCCCCAGCTCATTAGTACCCTCGTTCAGCCGATCCCCAGCTCATTAGTACCCTTGTTCAGCAGATCCCCAGCTCATTAGTACCCTTGTTCAGCAGATCCCCAGCTCATTAGTACCCTTGTTCAGCAGATCCCCAGCTCATTAGTACCCCGGTTCAGCAAATCCCCAGCTCACTAGTACCCTGTTCAACAGATCCTCAGCTCATTAGTGCCCTCGCTCAATACAACTCCAGCTCATTAGTACCCTCGCTCAGCAGATCCCCAGCTCATTAGTACTCTTTAAAAATACAAAAGAGTTGGAAGTATCCATGCCAACTGGGCCCAATTCAATCACTAACAAACTAAATAAATAAAGTGAAAAAACTAAATTTCATTCACATAGTATACTTAACAAAGGGGGTAATTTTAGCGCAGTCACAAAGCTTTGAAATTATCATTAGTCCCCTTGTTCAGCAGATTCCCAGCTCATTAGTACCCTTGTTCAGCAGATCCCCAGCTCATTAGTACCCTTATTAAGCAGATCCGCAGTTTATTAGTACCCTTGTTTAGCAGATCCCGAGCTCATTAGTACCCCCGCTCAGCACATCCCCAGCTCATTAGTACCCTTATTAAGCAGATCCGCAGTTTATTAGTACCCTTGTTTAGCAGATCCCGAGCTCATTAGTACCCCCGCTCAGCACATCCCCAGCTCATTAGTACCCCCGCTCAGCACATCCAAATCTTAGTAGTACCCACAGCTCCGCTGATGACCCACTCAAAAGTACCGCCAGCTCTGCTGATCCCCAACTCAGTACCAAAACCCAGATCTGCTGATCCTCTGATTTGCTGGTTTGGTCCTCTCTCTGCGGTTCCCAGTCACCTTCTGCTTTATTGTCCAATGCTGCACACGTTTGACATCTGCTAGTTTCCCCTGCTCCAATCCCCCAGGACTGCTTATTCTCTGCTGCTCAGTCCTCTCTCTCCATTCCCCACTCACCTCCCACTATACTGCTCCCATGCTGCACACCACGTGTGACATCTGCTAGTTTCTCCCGCTCCAATCCCCAGCTTTGCTGATCCTCTGCCGCTCAGTCCTCTCTCTGGTCCCTGCTCATCTTCTGCTATAGCATTCCCATAATGTACACCACGTGTGCCGTCTGCTAGTTGCTCCGCTCCAATCCCCAGCTCTGCTGATCCTCTGCTGCTCAGTCCTCTCTCTCTGGTCCCTGCTCACCTTCCTGCTGCACACCAGAAGTGATGTCTGCACCAAATACTTCAAGAATATATACACCTGAACCGAAAGTGACTGCTGATGACATCATTCCAGTTCACTTGTTGGTCTCCCAGTGCATCCTGGGATATGTCATACGCCCAATACTTCCAAAAAAAAAAAAAAAAAAGCAAAGCGAACGCTGAATAAAAAGCCCCTAAAAAGCTGCAGTTGCTGTTCGTAAATGTTGTCATAGACTTCTATGGAGGCTTTGGAGATGATTTGAAGCATCAAGAAAGTGACATGGGTATATATTTTTGAAGGGAAGCAAAGCAAACACAACAGTTTGCACAGCACTTTACATTACAAATACAGAAAATACCACCTTGTACTTCCATTAACTGCATGGAACAAAAATGTGGTCACCAACCTGGTTGTGCTGTCTGGCAGGGCTACCTTAATCAAACGACTGGCTGAACAGAACGGCAAAACCTTCCTCAGGTTAAACCGCTCATGTATGCTTCAATAGTTTATGTAGCCGCTTGCCTGGGGTTTGGCATGAAAAGCCACTAAATATGCAGGAAATGCAGTTCTGGGGAAACAAGACATGAAAACCGTAAAACACGTCAGAGGAAAGACATAAAGCTTTAGCTGTGTCAACACAATAAATTTTACTGATGTTGTAAGCTGCAGCTTTTCCCATCTCTTTCATCCCAAGAATTTGCTTTAAAAGGCAAATGGAAAAAAAAAAAATAAAGAGCTGAAGCAATGTGCTTTATTCCTCCCGTCTGCAGAAATAACTCCTTCCCACAATAAAGACGTCTAATCGGCATCAATCAGAGCTCACATTTCACCAACTGAACATAGGAGAGGGGAGATTAGGAGGAACATTGTACACCTCTCCTTTATAAGTGTCAGCTATCCTGAGGATGAAATATTTCATCAATTATCAGATCAACGCTGGCATGTTAATCCCGGCTGCTTGGTGGGGTCTTTTCATGCCGATGGGAGGGGGAACAGAAGCAATAAACCACAAATATGTCTTAAAGTTGGGAACCCAGAGAGATTTCAAGTGGAGATTGCAATTTATACCGGTGCTTGTCCATCGCTCTGACCATGTGCGCCTTCACCTTTTTTGCTTTGTTTTAAAATTGATCTGAGCCCTCATCACCATTGAATACATAGAGAGCCCCTTAAGCAGCTCAGCAGAACATTACTCCCTTGCCACCCTTCCAAGGAGATGTCCCCCTCTAAATGTCCTTCTTTATTCTTCTCTGAGGCAGCTCTCCTCACATACCAGGTGTATACTATGATATATGAGATGTCCTCCTCCATATATCCTCCTATATTGTCCTCTGAGATGACTCTCCTCACATACCAGGTGTATACTATCATATATGAGATGTCCTCCTCCATATATCCTCCTATATTGTCCTCTGAGGTGACTCTCCTCACATACCAGGTGTATACTATCATATATGAGATGTCCTCCTCCATATATCCTCCTATATTGTCCTCTGAGGTGACTCTCCTCACATACCAGGTGTATACTATCATATATGAGATGTCCTCCTCCATATATCCTCCTATATCGTACTCTGAGGGGACTCTCCTCACATACCAGGTGTATACTATCATATATGAGATGT